GTGTGTGTGTGTGTGTGTGTGTGTGTATGTGTGTGTGTGTCGTCGTGTGTGTGTGCGTGCGTGTGTGTGCGTGTGTGTGTGTGCGCGCGTGTGTGTATGTGCGTGTGTGTGTGTGTGTGTATGTGCGTGTGTGTGCGTGTGTGTGTACCTGCGTGTGCGTGTGCGTGCGTGCGCGCGTGTGTGTGTGCGCGTGTGTGTGTATGTGCCTGCGTGTGCGTGTGCGTACGTGTGCGCGTGCGTGCGTGCGTGTGTGTGTGTGTGCGAGCGATTGTCGGATCAATTCGGGAAAAAATCCCTTGATATAGAGACGCGACGTGCATCGAGTATCGTCTAATGCGTGTACACTCGTGCGAGCAAAGTGTTGTTATTCAGCAAACACATTGTAAATTCATGCAAACCGCTGCGAGAATTGTAGAGTAATGTAATTGAATGTTATTATAGCGCATTATATTATGTTTGTGGGTGCCGGTAACGTGTGTATGCGATGAAAGCTAATGTAGTTCTCTATATTAGAAGCAGCGCGCGAACGGACGCTGCTAGAAAGAAAAAAATAAATATTTGATGATGTTTATTTGCTTACGGGACGGTATTAATTATAATCAGCGGAACGAAAATGTTTTTAATAATAGGCGTCAGATATACTTTAATCCCATTGTGAGAGGATTTTATCACTTTTGAATCTCATTAGAAGCTAGTGTGAGAAGCTTAGAGAATGCTTCGCCGAGGTGGTAAAGTGTGGGTGGGTAATAATAGCAGTAATGTCGGAAGCCATTATGCTCTATGCGTGATTGTTGATCATCCTCTATGGCTAGATTAGCACAAAAAACATGCTGTACACTTCTCTTCATTTCGTGCGAACTATACAAGGACACGTTACACTTTTGTCTTCTCTGAGCCGGCAAAAAACTATAATCAATAATCCAGTGTTCATTTTACAATCCATAAAATATTAAACTGTGTAAATTATGAAGTGGATTTTCAATCTCAGGAGATGCGTTCGGTTGATGGATTCCTAAAACACTTTTCTAATGATTAATTCATTATTATTATTCGTTTTCTCCCATTCACAAAGGCACGGTATCAGTTTTTAAGAAAACCTTTTTGCGTTGCAAAATGAAAGGTACTGCTGGGGGAAAATGAATTTTCATAAATTTATCAATTTAAATGAAAAAAAATACCGCAAAGTTGCTTTTAGAACGACGGCTGAGAATTTCTCTTCGTGAATGCGACAGTCAGGCGATGACAGATCTAGGGGTTTTGTCTAGCTATCGGCTCAAGTATTTCTATTAGCACACAGTGGAGCATCTATTTTTAATGGTTGCTTTGTACGCGCCAATACCTACCCGCCACACGCGATGTATCGATGTACACCGTCCCCGTTACCAGACGCAGAATTAGTCTTAACGTTAGTCTTAACATGGAACATTTTTCTCGTAGAGCGTTGACAGAGACATTGTAGAGCTTCCTTATATGGGTCCGGTGTACGAGGAAAAAGTTAAATGGCAAAAGACCAAAGTTAAGACTATTCTTCTAAGTTATTCTATTTATGTCGACGTCTGGCTGCTATGGATCGGCACGGCTGTAGTATAAATATGGCGGTTGTTTGTTGCAGTTTCCCTGGTTACCGACGACTTCGCATGCACAACAAAGGAGGATCTCCGGTGGCCTTTGTAGAGTTTGAGGTGAGTCGAGCATAATTTTCCTCTTTTCTTGTGTGCTTGCTGCAAGCATTTGATGTGAGGCCTCGCTACATTGGAAGTAACCACCCCCACCCACTTCGATTTGAGATATTTTTTGCTATACGGTCGTGTAATCGCATGTCGAGTACTCTTCGTTTTCGATCGTCGATCGTCTCCGTTGCCATATTTCTCCCGAAACCCTGGTTCACTGGTTAAGTCTGACTGTCAGGTGAATGACCTTTATCCAACTCGGGTCAAATACTCTTATACCGTACAAACTAAACTGTTACGAGAAGTATTTGATATGAAATTGATATAAATATTATAAAATTGGTATCGGTCCGACATCGTTTGGTTGACTTACAACTGACCCGATTTTTGATTTGCAGTATCCAAACAGTCCTGACAATCCCCGTACCCCCTATTTTGTTCAGTGCGTTTCTCCCCCCTTTGAGCATGCACAGTCTTCACATCTCTATATATATAGCGATATAGTCACGAAGTTCGACGCGAGTCGTTTGTTGGCTGCTATAGGTGTTTTTGTGAATATCTGTCCGTAGTCACAATGGCTTGCTAATGCACAAATTCGGAGAAACGCACCATATTTCGGACGCCCGTGTGTGAATGCAGACGGAGTAAGACGCGCGCGCAACCGGCAGAACGAATGCAGAGTGGAGGCTTTGCATTAAAATCTGGGATGCCTTTCAAACAGACAAACACACGCACACACACGCACAGTCTCTATGACTTGTATACAGTTGCATTTAGCAGCATATAGACTCTTACGTCAGTTGTAGTAAACCATGACAGGGTTTCGAACTAAGGGTTTTGGAAGGAAGAAATCTCCGGGATAACTACACGCGCAGAGTGACAGATTTCAATTAAAGACAAATTTCATTTAGACAAGCTAGTTCCATAAATCAGATATTTTGTAAAATCCAGATAAACGCATCAAAGTGACGCTCCGTTTCAGAGCATCTAAGCGCATTACACATTTCTCTGTAATAGTCAAGACGGATTTTCATGCAAATGATATCTGCATAATGATTAACTCGATCCACAGACGGACACATTTCGAAAATGATAATTGAAATATAATATAACGAGGGGGGAGGAAACAACATCGGAAACTTTACGGAACAAAAACGAAGGAGGGAAAATTCCACGCGGGTTAAGTCGCCGCTTGCACGCCGGGAAAGTTGCACAAAAGGAGGAGTTTGGAAGCACCCGGGAGAGGAAGCTGGGAGGAGCTTGTGTTTGCGGTGTGCTTCAACGCCACGGCCGTTTTCTCTGCTGCAGGATATCAGATCAGCTACGCAGGGTCTGCACAGTCTGCAGGGGTTCACACTTCTGTCCTCGGAGCGAGGCGGCATGAGAATCGAATATGCAAAACATAAAATGGGAGAGGTGAGTCGCACCCCGTCAAACCGCCCAAAGAAGGGCCGGAGCAAAACACGTTTGGGGTATTCACTATTACGCGGGGTAATTAAGCAGGAAAACCGAAGACAACGCGCGCGTAGGCAGGGATTTAGCAGGTGGGCGGTTTATGGGTTTAGGCCGGCACTTGGCCTGGGTGGAGAGAGGGGTGGGTAAGGAGTTGGTAAGTAAATTCATATGGTGCGTTTCTGCTTTGCACACTGCACATTGTCGTAGCCTCACTTAATATCTAGACCCCCATAGACTAATTGCATGAATAATCAGAAGTAATTGGCATCCTCGGCGCGTATGTATATTTTTTCCAGTTTTTTCTTTCTTTCTTCAATGTGTAACCTGATTGATTGCCTATGCGCGTACACGTGATCTATATAACTGTTAAATGATGCAAGCGCGCATGCGCACCGGGGAGCGTGTATATGCCCTGATGAGTGTGCATATGGAGGCAGTTTCTTCAACCAAGTAGCGCTCTAACGATTGATAATGACTATCTAGCTTGACCCGCCGGCATCATGACGTGGCAGCGAGTCGTGCTGCCGATGACGTGGGAACATTAATTGCCGCTTGAATATTACAAGGAACGATATAACCAGCCGCGATGTCGCAGCTAGCGCCGTGTATAAAGCCAGCCGCCATCTTGGCGTGTTCGATTACAATTAGGCTTCGTGGATAGTTTGATGGAAAGCCGTAGTGCTGTTGTAATGACGGTCGTAACGCGCACAACGACCGAGTCGATGAGGAGAGAGACGTGATCGAGATGAGTTTCTGCGCGAGCTCGTGAACAATGTTAAACGCAACAGAATATACGTTATCGTATAGCGATAGATTATTAAAAATCATCAAACGTGACTAGTTATTCATACAACCGACGGGAGATAATGGTTTTTGACGGTTTCGTTGTAATTGAGATGGATGCCTTGTCGACGATGTTGCCTGATTATAAAGAAAATTGTAGTGTCTTGATGGATATTTTTCTGCCATCAAATTGTGTGTGTGTGTGTGTGTGCGTGCGTGCGTGCGTGCGTGTGTGTGTGGGATAGCTAGATAACAATGTTATCTAGACTATGTTTGACTGCTTATAATGCATATTGATCCAGACACATCGCTCGTTAAGTGTTGTGTATAGTTTCACGTTAATCATTTGATGTTTCCTTGACGCAGACTGGACACATGAAAGAAGAAATGTCTGGACAGAGTCCGGTGCCACCGACGGCCAATGGCTATGTGTGAGCTGGCGCCACCTGCAGGAGATGTCTGCAAGCAATAAGTACGACAGATTGGAATGCTCAATTCAGCAATGTTTCTAGCTATGTGCTGTAGCTGGTGTCAGCGGGCGGCGTGCTCATAACTCAACGAGGCTGTTGTGTCGTGTGTACTGATGTAGAAGCGTTGTAATCAGTATAATAATCGGTATCTGTGCTATAGTTCGTTTACTCAAATTTTATTCTATGGAAAATGTCATTGTCATGTTTCTTGCCTTGATATTTATGTTGATAAGTGCTTACAGTGCTTACATATAGTAATCTAAAAAAAATGATTTCTTCTGAAACCATCTTTCAAAATTGCAATGACATTACTTTGCTGTCTCTCCATCTCTCACTCTTTCTCAGCAAGGTGGTTGTTATTACTATGCCTGCAACATACTTATTGTGCAACGAGTCAAGCTGGCACATCTATGAAGAGAAAACGATGTAGGATGAGAGAGAGAGAGAGAACGTACAGACTACTGATGCCACTATAAATGACTTGTTGTCTCAGTAAAATGTCTAAGTATGATTATTAAGATTATTGTTTCCAAGTATTTTACAACTAGGATGAAATGAAATGCGTTTTATGAGACTAGCATCGAGTTGTGTAAGAATGAATCATGCAGATACGATTGCATGTTGTATTCAACTGCTGAAAATTGAATTAGGTGAATCGTTTTTGTTTGTGGCATAATACTGAAGGAAAAAATTAAATAATATAATAATGACAATTATAAATGTGTCGCATGTATGACACAAAAAATAATACTATTTTAATTTTTAGCCTCATTTAAGAGAGTCTGTCAATGTTGGGTGATTTTCTATATCTATTTGCCAATATTATGAAACCATGCAGTTCAAATCACAGTAATATGTGCTGTATATATGGAGGTTGACACTGTGATCTATGCAACGAAGTATGAAATACCCTTCTGTATGTGTATGCCTTTTGCTTCTCAGGGCGCTGCGCTATTCATTGCAAAATACACCCTGCTTCATCCAAGGCATTGGACTTGTTGAAATTAAATCCTACACAAAGGTCACTGGTCCCCATACCTAGCACGGGCATCGATTAGGGCAAGTCGGCAAAGTAGGGGGTGCGCAATTTGCTAAAATCCAGCAAACATGAAATTTGTTTGTACTCGGTACTCGGTACCACATGAGAGAAATAGCCGCATGTAAATTTTTTTTATCAAGTTATCTTGATAACGTCAGCTATTGCGCTATACGTTTATATTCGGTGGATGAATCCACGGTGGGTCCTCTTTAACCCTGGGCTACTGCTAGGGCAACAGAGCTAGTATGGACTAAAGAAACGTCAAGGGCAAGCTTTCGCAAAAAGGTTGTGCTGCCCTATACGCATTGGGTGCGTGAGTATACCGCAGTCTGTCAAACAGAAGGCGTGCACTGTTATGCAGGGTACAACGAATATTAGGAAATTTGATTTTTTGTCAATTTGCACGAAGTTTGTAGTGGGCTCGCAGTTTTCTCTTCACGACTGCATATCACTTGTTAAGAAATCACTGGTACAGCACTGCAACGGGCTCTATAACTTCGCAGCAGGCACGGGAACACTTGAGAAAGTTTCGACAAGGTTCTGAGCAACAATATTTTCACGCTTGCGGGTCTACATGTGGCTGTGTACGGTCGGCCATATTGAATCTCCTGTAACAGAATGTTGCAAAATGTTGTCGAAATGTTCTCATGGTTTCTTCGAAAATATCTATAGATAAATTTTAATGATTCTCTACCCACTCTCAAAATCGTAACGGGATCGGTTTATTCTGCTTTTCCTGGTGTGATTGGTGGGATATTTTCCCAATCCGTGTTTGTATAAAATTTTTACAAGGTGTGAGGACTACTTTTATAAATGACTCACAAAATCTGTATCAGAGAGTACGCACATGAATTTGTATGGCTAACCAGTCATCCAGCTTTCGAAATGCTCTTCGCAGGTTAAACTTGCTGCTTTAATTTGTAGATATATTCGGCTTTAAAATTGCATTGTATTATAATTTATATTAGAACGTATAATGTGTACTAAGACTAAGATACTGTCAAATTGACACCAAATATTTATGGTAACTTGTGGCTGAGCTTAATTTAACGCGGACGTTTAATTTAGTGATTTGTCATGTCAGCTTGTGGAACTATCTTAGAGTACGTAGGCCTACTCCCTATTCCTAAATTACTGTTATTCGATACATATAACACGTGCATTTCAAGAGTCAGTGCCGCCATCTGCTGGGAGATTAATCGTGCTCATTTATGACATGCCGCGTTCGATTTGAATACGGTTCGCGAGCACTAAAAACAAATCTCTCGAGTGAAGCACACAGGCCATCGACGGTGGGTAGAGAATCAGCATCGCACATTGAGACACAGCACAAATGCACCTTTAGTGTATAATAATGGACGCACGTCCTCTCATGACGTCAGGGCTCGCGGTCTGCTTGGCTCTGTTGCTGGCTACGCTGGTATAATTCCCAGCTATGTTCAGCACCCAGCCATACGCCCGCGAGAGCGGACGTCCTGGAGGGTTAGCGAGAAATCTACTTAGAATTTTACACTCGGTGCACTAGCGAGAAATGATATCATGACCTCTCCGTCCAAATTTTGGGAAGAAAGTTCCCCTGGTATCTGGTTGTGATTTGCTTAAAAATAGGGCTGTCGAAGCCAGTACAGAGCATGTGCTATGTATATGTTATAGCTTTCCGTTAATATTGTACTCGGTGGTTTGATTTCGGCAGGGATCTCTAGTTCAACTGATCCCCGATTTCTGTGAAAGTGTTGTGAGCAGTCTTCGTTATTTTGGTGTGCGTGTACAATCATGTGACCGTGTAAAAAAACAATGGACCAAATGTGATAGCTGTTTGTATTCGTTAGAGGTTAATGCTACTTAAAAAAATCTCGTTGTAATAATTATTATTAATCAAGTTTGTACAAGCGTGGGTGATGGTAGTTTTGTGGGACTGGATAGATTCGCAAATCAGTCGTAGACTAGTCAAGAATTTGAATTAGGGTGTTTCATTTTCCCCTCCCCCACCCCTTCAAATAACAGGTTACGTTAAGGCTTTCGTGGCTACAATTAGCTTTGTCAATATTTAGGACTGAAATATCCGTACAGAATATGCCGAGTCTATTATTTGAGGTACGAAGGAGGGCTGTTCTGTTGTTACACAACCCGGAAGACTTGTGGTGCTTGCGTGTCTATATCTGCCGCACTGTCTGATGGTATGTGTATGTTCGCTTGAAAGATTATAAAAAAAATCATGGTGTAGCAATGTCATAGTGATGTGGTGGGGCATTATTGATAACAAAGTATTAACGTATTCGTTACGCGTACTGGCAGTTGTAGTTAACGATTGGACGACTACTGCTATTACTGACAATACTCCTTTAAGTTTTCATTCGTGTTTATTGCTTTCATTATTATGATAGAAGAACAACATTCCATATAGTACTTGTGAAAGATGATTTTGGATATTTAAGATTATAGTGACAATCCTAGGTTGGGAAGATGAAGTAATTATGGAGTTATATTATATTTTCATCATTTTATTTAAGTATAATATTAATATCGATTTTTGAAATGATCAGTCAGGATCAGGGGCCATGAATTGTTTTTACATTGCTCTTGTTCACAGGGTTTATGTTATAACTTAATAATGAATCTCACCAAAGTGACTGTCAGGAAAGTAATCTCTTTTTATAAGAGAAGAATCTCAGTTTTAGTTGAAGCTTAGAGTAATTTTACATGACCAGCCGGGCTTGCTTTCGTGAGACTGCATAATGGTACATATTCAGTGGTTTGCTGCCTGGTGAGATCGTTCACAGAGTTGTTGATCTAACGAGTTGTTTACGAGTTTGATTTCTCAAATTAAGATGTAAATACTCTTTAAAGCACTTGATGGCAGAGCCTGTCAGTGGAGTTTTGCAAACTTGATATGTATCGTATACGTTTAATAACAACAGCCTCGGCGCACGTGTAAAATGAGTTGAATTCCATGCTGGAGTGCTGTAAAACTGTTTCCTATTCCTAGAAAAGACAAATTCGAACAAAAACACTGTTGCTGCCTTTTGATTCGCTATCGGAGCGTCTGCTGGCGCTGCTGCCGCCAGGTGGCGATCGCTACTATACACTAGCGGAGTGGGGGTTGTCGCCGCGTGGTAGTATCCTGTATTTAGTCTCTCGTACGTTTGTCACGATTGATTAGGTAATATTTCGCGTGCCCCGGCCGGTACTTGCTCACGGAGCAGTATAGGCAGAGCTGGCGGTGTGAACGCGGCGTTACTAAGTGACCTTGATGCGCAACCAAGCAATCCCGGGTGGCCCGTTAAACCGGGCACGTCGCTCGCGCAGACGAGAGAGAGAGACAGAGAGAGATGACATGACGCAGCAGCGGCAGCGGTGTCGTCGGCCGCTGGAGGGTCATTTGCAGCGGTACTACGGCCGTACGTTGCCGCGCTCAGACGCTGGCGTGCGTTTACGCGCAGACGCGCACGCGTTCTCGCGAGCGCTGCTCGTGTGTTTATGCGCATCCGGTGCCGAGGCGGCGAGTCTCTTGTGGGAAATGGGACTGTAACAAGATCGTAATGCGAACGTTACTACCCCGACAGTAAGCGTTACCTTTCTGCTTGTTGAGACGCTGTGTTATTAGAAAGACGTTCGCGTTACGGTGCAAGTGACCCCCCCCCCACCGCGGCCGCGTGTACGCGTAGCTGGCGTCAGAGGGCAGCAGCGGCGGCGGCGGCAGCAGCAAGCAGTTAGCAGACGTGTGTGTGTTGTATTGTAGCAGTATTCCCCTACCACTTTTTTCTGAGTATTTTTACTGGACTTTATTGTTCGACCTGTATTTTAATAAAAGTGACCAGCTTGGAATTGATGCACGTCTTTGTGTTTAACCGGTGATATCTGTACGCATGCAGTGATACGCGTTTACTAAGCTCATTGCTCGCTATAAACGATGTGTAGTTACATAAGTTCAGCCTGCTCAGGTTCGACTAAATCTTAGTTTTAACTCTTCAACTTACGCAAACATGTAGTTTTAATGTCCTTCTTATCTGATAATCATAATTCACATACATACCGTTCTTACCAAAACGTAAAAGCACACGCAATGGCAAGTTACCGAAATCGTTTAACCGTATACTAAATAGTAATAAACCATGGCTTGAACATAAAACATCTACCCCAAGGAAAAATGATCACGTATATGAATATTTTTCAAATCTTATTTACAATCCTTCATTTCGCCATAACTCTAGATATGGCCACGGATACATTCACTCGAATCAAGTGTCACTTAAAGAAAGCTGCGTCCGCACATGCTATACAAATAATTTACATTGCTATATACAAATAACAGACACATGACCATGCTCGTCACCATGGCAGCATTTTTCGTTACACTTTAAGGGAGTGGAGTCCCTTACAATCGTTCTGTGCGTTAACCAATTGAGGTCGTCTTGCTGTTTCCATTTACAAAATACACCTGACACTCTGGGCAGGTCACGTAGAGAAGAATAGAAAGCTATGGTGGAACATATCAAAACAACATCAAGTAAGCAATCTATTTATCTCTTGATAATATGTTGACAATATGGCTTCATATGCTGAAGGTAGGATGGGTTATTGGGTTTTAGGGTAACTTCTTGTCTAAAATATAACAGCTTAGGGAAATTCGAGCTGACTATACACAGAACAAGAACAGCCTGTTCCTGCGTTACAGCATAACTTTTTTGTCACATTTTTAAGCCAAGAAATCCTTAATATGCAATGAAAAAACGTCCCACACTGAAGATTTTTAAATTATCGTATACCACTTCACTGCCATTTCAAAAATTATTGATTCAAACTGACCTAACTTTTATGCAATACATGGCAATAACAAACACGAATAATCTTCAATACCAAATCTATACAAACATATTTATAGGTACAAAGTTTACTATTGACAAGCACGCATCTAGACACATGACAGAGCATAGCAGTAATTCTTTTCAGATGCTTAAAATATAAATGTGTATTTACAGTAAACTTTACTACAAGGGATTTAGAAATTCGTAGGAATATAATTGGGGCAATTAGTCTTTCACATAAACTGCACCACAAAGCCAGTCCACTCCTTACAATGTTATTCTAGATAAATTGTTAGAGGTACAAAACATTTTTTTCTTCTTCTAAATATTTATGATCAACATACTTTTTTAGACAGAAATAAATAACTTCATTAGGCCTAGTTGCTGATTTTCATGCAGTCACTCAGGTTTCTGCTTATATACTCACCTAATAATACTGCAATCCAGTATAGAATTCTCCTGATGTAGGACAGATGGGTTAAGTACAGTTAAGAACAGTATAAGTGCATAGACAAAACAAGGGGCGGTAATAAGTAGTTAGAATGTCTACACACAAGAATCTCACTGAACAGCTTTTTAGCATTCAGCATAGACACTGTTCACTCACTATTCTTTCACCACATTCTGTGTTGTTTGCTAATACGTTATAACTTCAATCTACTCTCGAGGTACCTGCAATTATCATTATAAACAGTGATGCCGATTCGCCCTGTATAAGTACAAAAATAAACAATCACAGTTTTCTCACCAAAGACCATACCGATACGAGCTCGGCATTTTCTCACTTCATCTCACAGTCTTTACAGTGACACTAGTGTTGTCCCTTCTGAGAGTAATCTTCGAGTATGTCTGCCATGTGATCATTGTGCTTCTTGAATGTTTTATTCCTCTTCGATCCCTTTTTCCTCTTCTGTGCTCTCTGCAAATACAAAACATGTTATACATCATTCACCAGCACATTGAAACCCATAAATTTTCTGCTTGCATTATTACGTTATCTTGGCATGTTTTGATGTCAACTATAACGTCTTTATGCTGCAGTAAACCCCATTTAAATGAAACTGAACTTAGGTGACAAACCGCATATCAATTCGAATGCACTACTGTCGATTCTAGCACATATACGATAACTGCAATAACTTACAATCGATTTCATTCCATGGTCCTGCATACTGGATATCCCCTGCTTCTGTAAATATTCCTCAATCTTTTGATCCTCTATGCTTTCAACTGGTATTGAACGCCACAGCTTTTGGAATTCTATACAAGAAAAAAAATGCTGGTGCACAGGATAGGGCTGGAGTATGACAAACAGGAAGGTACTGCATCCCTATAGGTAATGGCACAACCGATACGTTTCCTTACGCTTCTGTGATAATAGTGCGTAGATGTAGTAACTGTGGCTAGTCTAGTTTAAGTTTAGGTATTAGTTTTAAATTCGACTGCAATCTGAATCATCTCAGTAACAATGTTATGTGTACCTTCATCGCAGCTGAAGCTGAGACTCTTGTCGTTGTAAAACAGCACCACCTTCTTGTCCGTTGGACGGGTGACCTGTATGATTTGATCTCCTATAACCTAAAAGCATATAAAGGGGGACACTTTAGGGTGTCACCTCTTCTATTATGGGCGATAAGACGGTGTAATCCAGGCTGCAACACCACATACATGATGCCAGGGAAGTGCAAATACAGGTGCACACTGCATCTGGATGATCATCTGGCCCACGAGCATGCACACAAACGGTTGCTTCCATAATTGTTGTACTCATTAATTCATGTATTCACGGTTTACTGTAGTTTCTAACTTTCTAGTATAGCGCTTTACCATCAATCTATAGCACTTTACCATCCATCTATAGCACTTTACCATCATTCTATAGCGCTTTACCATCAATCTATAGCACTTTACCATCATTCTATAGCGCTTTACAATCAATCTATAGCGCTTTACCATCAATCTATAGCGCTTTACCATCAATCTATAGCGCTTTACCATCAATCTATAGCGCTTTACCATCAATCTATAGCGCTTTACCATCAATCTATAGCACTTTACCATCAACACTATAACACTCCTATATGATCTACGTTTTAAGACGGTACACTATAATGTGTAAAAACCTGAACCTTCTTTCACATTCCCCGAGTCATATTCATTACAAGTAAACCTAGCAAATCGATACAAATTCAGATATGAAATTTCGTTAGTTATAGACAAAGCGCATAGCAAATACGGCGAGTGACAATAGCATATGATTGGACCAGCCTACCCGGATTGCCTTTTCTGAGTTGGGCAGTGATTCCTGTACATCCTCCAGCAAAATGCCTCCCTGTCCAAGTTGATCATGCTTATCTAGCAGTCTGAGTAAACTCTTCTTATCTTTCAGGTTATATGGGGGATTAAACTGGAACTTGTTCGACTGAGAGACGAGGATCTTAGGATTGTTTACCAATGCCTACAGAAAAAAACCCAGACAGAATACTTATTATTCCACTAGTTATGCAATGCCACCTGCACCTGTATGATAGATTTACAAATAAAATTTAAATTTAAAAAAAAATTGAATGAAATAGTTATTTTATTTATATTTATTATATTATATTTATACCTTTCCTATATCCTACCTACCTATATATACCTTATACCTATATGTATTATATTTTAATACCTTAAAAATATGAAAAAATATGATTAATTTTTTAACCTCGGTAGAGAGCCAATGTCGCTGCATGGGCCCGACATCAAGTTGGTTTGTCTCGTCGAGTATTTCTTCCAGGGACAACGCATGCGTGTCACCTCTCTGGTGACGCAGCTTCATGTGCTTGACGATTTTTGCGAGGACGCTGAACTTGTACTGTGAGCTTCCTTTCATCGACTTGTAACTGATGGCCGGTTTATCTGAAACAACACACAATTTGTACTTATTATATAGTTGCAAACGTGCTCGTCAGGAACGAATCGATTTTTCACGCTGAATAGTTATTATCAGGGAACTTCTGTGATATTTCTGTCAATTGGGTATTAATTCGTACTGTATACGAATTAACATGGACATAAAGGCTATGAACTCATCTAAGTTCAAAATTTATATAACAAAGAACTTATTATTATTCATGGTTTATCATTGTTATCGTTCTTGTTATAGTCCTTTGTTCTTCTCAATGTTGGGAATAATGTAATATATTACAAACTTTTTCTCAATGATATCATATCTTGCAGCCATATTATCACAATCTCGTGCAACATGATAACATAAAATCCATGAAATTAAAAGCGTGCATGCTTTAACAATTTCATCCAAAATGTTGATGGTATCAAATAACTATGAAAAGCCTGCATGATATAATAGTGGTAATATTAGCATCTACCCAGCATGAATCTATCACTTACTTAAACTTAAAAAATATCTGCTAGCTAATGCTTTCAACATTATGTGTGCAAACTTGAGTTCATGAGAGGCTAATTATCAAATTTTATTATACAATGTAATACACTAACCTTTGGTGGTTATCTGCTTCTTTGATGATTTACTTTTTGTACTCTCTTCCTTCTTTGGCTTCTTCCTGTTCTCTATAATAGGCTGGGCCAATGCTCTCTTCTTGAACGCCTCTCTCTCCCTGAGTAATGCTGGATCCATGATGATTTGTGTCTGCCTCAAATCTATCTGATGTCTAAATGACTATGTCTTCCTTTAAAACAAAAAGGAAGCATTCTAAACAGACCTATACCAGATTATACCAGACAATACTATATTAACAATAACATAGTATATTAGTATACCTGCCTCCTCTAAATATTGGAGCCTTTTTGAAGAAAAATGTGGCAAATTCATTAGAAATATAAATATATTGATAGAACAAGGCTGGTAAATATTGTCGGGAGTTGTGATTTTTGACCCGCTTTAACGATTAGTGGTTAGGCCTGTTTATTTTGACCCGTCTGTTGATAGGTGTCGCGAGTGGTTCGCCTGACATGATTGGCTTCCACGTGGTGCCTCTCTGTTCTTTGTATGCACGCGTCGTAAAGTACCGATACCGCCACATACGTCATCGAAGCCTGTGCTAGATTCCTACCGGCTTCGATACAGGATTCACTACACAAGGATAATGGCAGCCAGCGTATATAAGGACCGCCTGGCGCTGACACGGGGCTCCATTCCACCGGCAGCCAGGAGGACCACTCATGTAAGGGGCAAACCTTACAGCGTGCATGTAGGAGCCGAGTTAGCTCCGTCTTAAAGCCAGTTCCGTATGCAGAAGTAATGCATTTGCAGGGATAGCCGGCTGGTCACGGTAGATGGTACTACCGTGGGTGGCGGTATTTCTTGGATGGTCGGATCCAGGTTTCGATAGCCTCTTGGTGTGTGGTGGGTTTTTTGTTGTGTGCGTTTTGTTGTGACTGGACAATTAAAGTTTATATGAACTGTATACACAACACTTTTGAGTTTTGCTAAAATTCTGGCCTTGGTGCTAACACCCCCAATTCACCCACGACAAATTGGCAACGAGGAGGGAATTCATCGAGGATGGGATTGATCTAGGATGTGATACATCTTGGATGGACAGTCTTCACAACATTCACTTCACAACATCAACCCCGAGGTCGAGGCGAAAGTTGACGCCGAGATCAACTCAGAGACAGAGGGAAAGCTGTACCTGATCAGAATAATAATCACCCACAACAATATACCTTATTATTTTGCAGCATTAAAGCTTGCAGACAGTATATTATCAATTGAATAAAACAATAACACAGAAACACATGCAAGCTCTCTTAGTTTTAATGCAGATAAAAAGACATGCAACATCGATCGGGTGCATGTAACTGATAATCGATTATGAAATTCTATATAAAACTATTTTTATTTATGTGAGCGTGCCTACGCACTAATCTGTTTTTATTGTGTTATTTATTTGTTTTATTATTATGTTGGCTGTATTGAAATTTTGGGTGCAAGGCAGCATAACAAGCTCTAGACTGGTACCAGTATCAGTACAAATATCATAGATTTAATAAGGTTCATTATTGCAACTACTAGGTGCATTCTAACACCAGTAGAAATAGAAACATAAAACAAAACAAAACAGAAACAAAACCACGGCAACTTAAAATTTGGTCACTAAAATCGTATTATATAGAATGATGTACCTGATAGTTTTCCTCGATTATAAGCACGATACATCACCACAACAAACAACGATTACGCATGCAGACTTTAAATTTAGAAGTAAAGACGAGTTCTTCACTTTATTGGTAACCAGGGCAACAATATACCAGGCAACACTTATGACATGATAACCACTACAGTGCTATTGTGTGTTGTTATATTGGGCTGGGTACTACGATACCCCGTAACTACTAAGTAATATAACCATTTCGCTTCCTAGCTAGATCATACATACGACACATACTCGGTCAGTCATTACTTGGCAATGTGGGGACAAGCAGCTATAATAATTTTAATATATAAGATAAAATTCCAAATCCTTTAGATGAAGTACTCAAGGTCCTACTCTGCAGGTGAGAGAAGATCACGTCGCATCATTACAGTGATATGTTATCGTACCTAGGCCAGGGTAGGGGGTGACTCTAGGCAGTGGAAATCCACTTTAGGCACCTTAGGTATCACGAAGTGATGCACAGATTTCTGTGTATCATCAACTGATGC